TCAGTCGCCCACAAGCATTGATCTCTCTACCTCGCAGCCACAACGTGCCCGCGCTACCTGTGTACCATCTTGCCACATCAAACGTTGAAGTATCAAGGGCACCCATGGGAAAAGGTTCGAATGTATACCACGGAAAACTTTTAGAGACTTCCAATGTAGAACGGATTTCAGACCAACGGTCAGGGATTACTAGTAGGGTGGCGGTATCGTTGAAAGCAATTGCTAGTTCATCAGAATTAATTTTCTCCCACCTAGCTCGATGATGGGATTGCCTTCTTACTTCGCCAGTTTTCTTTTCGTTTTTGCTACAAAATCCTTTGAACACAACTTTAACAAGATACCATCGAACATCTGGAAATCCTCATCCCCTCAATCCTATGACAACTGCGAGAAAACTAGAAGGGCACTGAAGTTCCTGCATTTCCTTCACAAACCAACCCTTGCGGTTTTACTGCCAACAGTGATAAGGCGCTGCAAAAGGTCGATCTATTCTTTTCTCTGGGAAATACTGGAAGCTTTTCGTGGGTTGCATTGGAATTGGACATACAATTCAGTACATGTACGGGTATAAATCCATTACCTTCAGCTGTCGATATAGAGTAAGGCTGACTTTAGGTATGTATATTAAGTCTGCTCTACAGTCTGCAGTATTAGTTTTCATTGGAAGCAATACGGCTTTGCATCCCGATTTAGAAGACTTCAGGAGCATCAAGGATTCAGAAATCCAGAATCCAGGTTTCGGTAGATGAGACAGACGTAGTGAGCTCCATTCAGAGAATGTTATCATTCATGTAGGGGTCCACAGCTCCGTTATGAGAACTCAAAGACGAAACCTTTTGAAAACTTTGGCTTTCTCAATGAGTAAATATCAGTAGTAAGGACTGATGCCAATTCTCATCAGGCATTTAATCGACACAATAACATCAAAATAGATACGAGTTCATGGCGTACTTTTTTCTGAATTGCTCTTGGAACTGTAATTTTACATGTTCTAAATTCATAGGGGCAAAACAGCCCAGGTTTCCCGTTATGAACCCATCCAAAACTTCGAAAAACTGTGGGAATTTGCTCGAATTTTTCAGTCTGAGCCACGCATTTATCTTGTATCCGAGATTGTTGACAGACGGCAACGATAACTGCGGGTAGAATTCTCGAGTGGACGAGTTTTCATTATTAGCCGGGTTTTGCCTATCAGCTATAGAGATACAATGGTTATGCTTATATATTTAATGACATGATGACACCATATAAAAATGGTTTATTTGGTGACAAACTGATACTCTCAATCAATTCATCAAGGCTTTGGAGATGTAACTTACAAGAGTCTAAAAATCTTCCATCCTCATTGTTTTCTTTCTGCTTGCTTACTTCTGTGTTTACGTTAGCATCCTCTTGGAGTCCGTACGCGCAATTATAGAAAATATTGATTTTACGCGCGTTGAATCCATATGCATATTTGAGTGCATATCGATCCGCTGCGCGCAAAGTATGTATCCACCACATAGCGAATCCATCTGGCAAACAAATCTTATTGATAATCATCACCTCCTGAATCGACCATTCGCTCTGACTGTCCTTCTCGTTATTGTATACAAAATTTCTGCTATTTTCTGTAATCGCTTTTGAATTTTGCTGATTTTTACTCTCGGCTGATAACTACGTTTTTCAGATGGTGGATGGCTGAATTGACGGGCTCGATCTCGTCGATCGGAGGTGGCGCGTCTGCCTTCCTCCCATACCAGACAACCAGTTTTAATTTACCAGTGCCATACTATAATCATATTAATAATAACAGCCCTCAACCATCGCCGTCTTATACGAGACGAAGGGAACAGCCGGTTTGTTCTTAATCATAGTTAATTAATTAATGAAGTTCTCTGAACTTTCAAATAAGCCCAGGAAATCCTTATTTTAAATATTTATTCATTTGACTACCCGTTTTTGCAGCGGCATTTCTACAAAACTAATAGATCCCCAAGTAAAAGGTCATCAGATAGTTGAATGCTGAATAAAAACTTTTAATCTTTGGGAGCGTAGTGCTAACTCATCACGTCTAAAGAGCAATGAGGTCACCGCGCGCAACACGGCATATCACACAGGTGCACAGCCGTGAACCTGTCGCGCGCCGCGGCCCAGTTTCGCGCGCGATGATCGCGTTGGCGTCTGTAGTCCCATATTTCACAGACTAGACCTCAGGCTCGAGCAAACGCTGCTATTCTTCAGCCGTCAGGAACGGGTGGGTTAGATAGCTTTTTTGCATGTCCCAAGTATTTTTCTCGACCTTTCTGGGAATACCATTTGATAATACTTTTGGGAGAAAAATTCAGAAATTTGACTCGCACATGAACGTACATCGTAGCTTGCGCAACCTGAAATAGCCAAGTCCACGGTATTTTTTCTTGCTTGATTCCGCACAATGTCGATTCTGTACTTATTCACCATCAAGAAGGGACTTCAGAGGAAGTCTGATTATGAGTAATTTATTTGAGTGCTCAGTAGCAACAGTGAGTGTTGACCTCTCAGCTGACGTTGTCAACGTGATTTTGCATGGTGGTGATGGATGGCACCGCACGAACTCTCTGAGCACTTGACCAGTCACTCGCCATCCCTCACTCCCCCACTTCCTCATCCCGACTACAGTTCAGTTAGCACATGTCACGTACCCTCTGGGAATGCCCGTTCATTTCTACTCACGTGTGATTTTGAGGTAACAGGGATGCAGTGACCGGTATGTATGGAGTTCCATAGGTTATCTCTCAATACACAAAATACCCAGATTAGATAAAGCTCGCGATAGAACCACGGAAAACGCGATCAGCTGGATCAGTTGCGGTTATCTGCCGATGAGGTTTCCCATAATGGGACTATGGGTAGAGTTTGGATTCAGCGGACTATGCTGGTAATCGCATACTGCAGAAAAGAGAAGCTAATCATGCCTTCTGATGATCGAATCAGGTTATCGATCGATTGGAGAGAGGACTTGTGTCGCAGCTGAACAGGCGGTCCATCGAAATGAAAAACGATTTTTCGGTACCACATCCTTATTTTTCTCTCCAAATAGAAGACAAACTGTCAACATCAGAAAGTATCCTACGTGAAGAGGTGGGGCAGTGTGAGGAACTGAAAGACGGGGGGTATGGGGATCTGAGAACCTCTCGCTGAACCTGAACCAAACCCAAACGATTCAATCGAGAAACAAAAATTTTTGATAAAAAATCACCAGAGCTCAAATAACATAGTTGGAGATTTTTATGATTTATCACCTAATATTTACATTATTTACAAAATATATAGTTTTACAAATAAAAATATTATATATTATGATATTTCCAAAAATAGTAAGATGAAGACGTAGATGAAGGAGCAAAATTGAAGGAATTTCTCCGAAACCTCCACATGGTATTGATCTCGAAATCATGATACCATCACTTCGAATCCCTTTGTTTAATAAAAAAAAATATACTGTATTGATACCGTATAACTCAAATTATAATTACTCAAATCGACATTTTTCAGTTCTTCCATCTTCCGTATCAGAGCTCATCGACTGCGATGCCTCCTGAAGGTCTGCCGAACTGCCCGGGTTTAAATCGACCGGATCGTAAACGGAACGAAGTCACTTCGTAAGTGCCTTTCAAATGGCTTTTCTTATGGTCTAACAGCTCTTCGAGGACCAAACAAGCCCTCTGCTTACATAACCGCCTAGAAATTAAGCTGAGCTATGACAGAATGAGGTAGAAATCTTCTAATGAGGTAAGTACACAGAAACGGAGTTGATTCTGCGTCCCTGACCGTAACCTCTTAATCGACAACATGCATGTTCAACCCGAAAGACGCATTGAAGTAAGGCACTATCAGTAGGAAGCACTTCAGCCTCGACTAAAAAGGAGGCTAGCCCAATTCAGCCGATAGCAAACTCGTCCTATCATTCCACCATCGAGTTTAATAGCCCCAAGACTACTGCAGAGTGGAAAAAAGTGGCATTTTACAGGTTTCTCGGTTCAACCCGTCGTGGAGCCCTTTTCTGTCGGTCCGGTAATTGGCTGGAAATTATAGACGAACGAACCAGCCAATTAGAGACACGACGAGGCGGGATCGGCGACCAAGTCCGAGGTACCCGGCATGAGGGCAGCCGATTCAGTAAGTTAACAGATCTCCTGAGATTAAAAAAGAAACAAACACTGAAAGTAAACATTCGAAAACAAACAATATTTTGATTGAGATTCTGTAGTTGTGAAAAAACTGCGCGTCAAACGAGAACTCTGTGTGCCTTTAGCCTCACTACAGGTTCTATTGAAAAGAAACATCAAATTGGACCTTATTTTAATTCTGATGACAAAGTTCTGAAGAAATTCTAGCGAAAAAATAAAATTAATAAAAAAAATTACCAATTTTTATTACAGGTGTCCTAGAATTTCTCTCTGTCGCTATTGGTTTAGTGAGTATACGAGGAGAAGTTTCACAAAGATATTTATGTATGGATAGAGATGGAAAATTATATGCTGCGGTTAGTTCTATTGATAAGTATAGGAATTTGAAAAGTTGAGATATGAAAACAACGATTTTACATTGAAATTTATAAAAAATGCCAGACATGCCGCGCATCAAGACAACTAACTATGATGTAAATGTGGAGAGACAACTAGCTAATGATCATCAAGTTCACTAGTTCCGGCTTTCTTTTAGGGCATTAGAACTACGTGTAATCATAACGTGTTGCTCCCACAGAATCAAAGACCTTATTATCGTGGAAGGGAAAGGGAAACTGGGGCTAGCCATCTATTGAGCAATGCTTTGGAGGTTTCGAGAGCTAGTGAGGTACCCATTTAGCACCCACTCCAGTCATCTTCTCCCACCTTTAACATGAACTCTGCTCTCAAACATAAAAATCTGCTGGCAAGGTTGCAAAAGTAGACGTAAGTTTGCTGCTTCGAAGCTAATTTTAGTAAAGTACTTGTAAAAGTCGAGTTTCGGAATCCTCAAACCGTACCCTGATCGCACCAAGTTATGTAATCCTGTAGAAAGCCTTCTGAAGTTAATTTGCCTAGACTCCTGCCTCACCTGCCGCCTTCCTCTCCTTTAACGCTTGGCCTAACTTGAACGAATTACTGCAGAAGATCACTAGTTATCAAAGAGGATTGAAAGAACCACTCCACTGCTCATCACGTAAGATTGCTCAATGAATTTGACGATGATTGTTGACCTGCCGTGGTCGGTCGGTCGGGCGGCTTTTTGATATATCACGAGCATCTGACGTGTCCCATCAATGCCAAATCACACGCCACCTGACATCCAGGGTTCCCCGACTCGCCTATCGAGCATAGTTCAATCACCCAACAAATAGCCGGCTAACGATGTTCAAATGTCGCGACGGGACTATCGAGGCCATTGAAAATAGTAATGGACCGAGGGAGATTTAGGGAAGCCATGGTCAGGGAAGGCTCTTTTATGAGGGCCATTAAAGCGCGATTTCTGATCACCTGAAGGTTGCTGATCGTTGAGCATTGATGTGGGAGGTCCAGGTGGACTACAGGTCCTAGAAGTCAGAGGTTGCTCCTGAAACGTAGGAGCGCAGCATGGGCATGAGGGTGAACACTTGAACGCCATACAGCTCGTCGTAACTCAACCACCGACATCCTTTAGAGAAGCCCTAATAGGTAACTGCCAAAAATTGCTAAAACACATTGTCAAAGTTATCGAAGAAGACTTTATTGATTGTTATTGATTTCCTGACTTCAGGCACCACAGAACTATACATCAGAATGTGTATTTCTCGAAGAAATGATGGAGAACTACTACAATCTATACTCATCCTGTGCATATGGCACACGAAAACGACCGTGGTACGTCGCGTTGGTGAGTGAAGTTTAACTGAATCTCTAGATAATCGATACCTCATCACTGATCACTAATGATTTTTCCATTGAAGCGTCGAACAGGGCGGAGCCGTCGTGGAAAGAACGCTCGACGACGGCGGAAAGCTAGTCATTTCTTAGTTGTGCACTATGATACGCCTCCACCTAGGAGTGATGGACAAATAGACTTAGGTAGGTTCCCAATCGGAAATTGTCTTCCCCTGAACAACCTCGTTGCCCAAAATAATCTTGCCATCGGAGCCATTTCAGGCCGATTACTCGCCCCATCACTGAAACATCAACCACCGAAAGATCAGGCGTTTGCGCGACGGCAAGCGTTAGCGAAACAGACGCAGTCGCGAATCGAACGTATACAGGAGCGGGTGGCAAATCGTCGTCCTACACCAACAACAATGCGGAAAGTCCGGAAACGGAAACGACGAAGACAACAACGATTGGAGCGTGAACAACGCCAACGACGATTACGACAACAAGAACTGGAACGACTTCGCCAAGAAGAGCTGGAGCGAAAACGTAGGCCGAAGTAAGTTCACTTTCAAGCCACTGTGCCATGCAATTGAGTAGAAATAGGTTAGATGCTAAACACACACGACTTATTCTGATTCTTCGCGCGCACGTCAAAAATCAATAATGTATCTTAACCTGCAAAGCTTTGCATCCGCAATTTCAACGCTTTATTGTTGTTTAATTCAGGTTGTCTGGTGCTGGCCTCATCTGGTCTCGACCATATTAATCTTTCAATCATCTCGAACGCCAAATTCATTACATTGCCATGATTGATTTGTGCATTATTGATTGTTTGTTGATGTTATTCCTTTGTCCTTGCGGCAAGGATGACGTCACCACTACGCACGCTCCGCCCAATTCGATTGATCTCCGCGCGCTGGTCGTTCGCTCTCTAGCATCTCGCAGCATCTCTCTTTGTTTGTTCTCCGAATCAGCTATTAATAATTAATGTTTAATTTGAAGGCTTTAGTGAGAGAAATTTGATGTATAATAATATGTGCATCTAAAGATAGCTAGTTTTATTAGTGAATATGACACCAGTGAGGGTTAACCAGGATAGAGTGGGTGTCCCCATTTGTGCAATACAACGGGTATTCAGTGGCTCTCTGCTTAAAAAGTAGTCAAGCCTCTGAAATTCATATGCACTATGAAAATATTATGCATTTCAAAAGCGACTGCTTGGGCGAAATGTCCTAGCAATGGCGGGATGCATCGCAGCAGGATGCGTGAGTACCGCCGCGCGGGGAACACGTTGCGAATCTTTGCTAGTTGTCGCTATCTCGCAGCGGTCGCACGCGATACCGCGCGACGCCGCGTGGTGCATTCTATAACATCTGTGACGCAATATGGGCTTCCTGGGAAATGGAGCCGCCGTTTTGGGTTGCAACGGTTTCAAGAACTTTTATCTTGTTGTCAATCAAAATCACAATAACCCTGGACAACTGTCTTTGGCTGACGGCATCCATCATAACACCTTTTTTTCTAAGCCGGTTAGCCCCGCCCTGATTTTCAGGGACACCTACTGATTCCTTGGGCTACTGCCTTCCCTCTAAAAGCAAATGACACACTCAGCGCATTCTTCAGTGATCGAAAAGCCGTGTAGCTCGTACCTTCTAATGATAAACCGATGCGAACCATTTGGCTCCAGTTTGCAGAGAGCCTAGTCATGTTAGCTCTGTACATGCAATAGCTAAAAAGTTAGCTGGATCGAGCCAGTGACTGTCCTGAATCTGACTTCACGATCAGAATAGTATAGGTTATAGCGACGCTTCCATCGGCTGTGGGTACTTATCCCCGAAAATTGCGTGGCCCTCAACGCAACCGCTCGTGTGCTGTCGCGCGGGAAAGGTCTGAATTCTCAGTAGACGGTAGCAGCCGCAGTGCCACTGCCGCTTGCTGTGGGAATTCGAGAAGACGCACCGCGTCCCGCTCCCATCATACCACTATCACAAGTTCCACCGAGCAGGTATAGAAACTTCTGAATTTACCCATGACATCCTACAACTCTCACTGGTGTCATATCCGAACCAGCGCGTGCTTATCCGCGACCAACACCACGTACTTATAACATAACCACGATGGCCAAACCATACACATTCAACAACGCGCGCAATGTGCTACGTGTTTCAAGCTAAATCTACGCATTTCTTTCACATACCCACACACCATAAATCCCACCAAGTATCTCTGACGTCATCGAACGTCTTGTTACGATAGTTTTAATGTATGTGTGCATTAATGAGTGTTATTCTACAAAACGATTACTGTTGATGAAACGGATCATTACGAGTAATAAAATAGGTGAATATGTGCTGTTGTAGGAGTCAAAACGCGAATATCATGGTCCTTTTTCTTTATCTTAAAGATGAGAACATGATGTTCGTTATTAGACACCATTTGATGTATATGTATTGATTTGCGCGTCTGTTATTCGCCCTAAAATCCCGGTGTATGCCCAGCCCTCTGTAATCGATTCTTGTACATTGAACAGACAGACATCGCCCTACACTGTTGTTATTATTCTGCATAATTTTCGATTCGAAAATGGATGTGTTTCGACTCCAACAAATAAAAATTCTGTTAAAAGCTGGTGTTGTTGTTTGACGACTGATTTATAATGTTGATAACATAAAACAACCTAACATAGCAGCAACAGTAACAGGTATATGTTCAATTCTCAGCGATAGAGGCCTCAAAATAACAACTGAAAGGGAATCTATTTCCAAAAAAATATCCATGAATGAACCTAACAACACAATCCAGCTCTACAAGCCACAGACGCGTGCGGTCGCGGTGCGGCCAAGCTAATGGCCCCATCAATGGCCTTGTATATGGTGTTGGAGGGATTTTAGGGACCCGTAAACGTTTGATCCAGTAACCCCTTAGTACCCCACCACCAACCTTTCTGTTGCGTCGTATATGTGACGGGTGTTTGGAGACGGTTGAGTGTGTATTCGGGTTACTGTGTAACACATTCACGGGACGATTAAATCCGTCTTGTGAATATGATCAAATCTTCACAGTGGACCGGGCGCTACGCTTAGCATCAGTGTTTAAGCCATGAAGCACTCACTGCTTATCAGTGATCCCCTGCCCATTGGTAGGAAAGGCACCAATCACATGCTCTTGAGGAACAGGAAGTTACCAACGATAGTCATCCAATAAAAGGCCAAGGACTGCGACTACTGTGTGAGACTCAACCTATATAGATTTCTTTTGGCGAGAAAATAACTCCACAATAGATTTGAAACATGAAAAAGAAAACCGGAAAAACGAGAAGGAAACAGTTCATCACAGTTACCACTGATCAGTTGTCACCCATACGTCCCTGAGATTTGAACAGCTTGTTCGATTTAACGCCCACTCGCAAATCGAAACGTCGGCGATAACGTTGTACAAACTGGAGGTCACGTGCTGTCTGCTTTGCTATGGCACCTCAAAACAAAAGATCTTATGAAAACTGTGGGAGCTTCGAAAAGATTTAGTTATGACGCTCAGTCACTGGCAAGCAGTTCTGCCGCGTTCTGTAGCAAGCAAATGTAAGAGTTTTCTTAAGAGTCGCTATGAAGATCTTTGGCGAACCAAAAAGCCTACGCTATTCCAAAAAAGCTTTTTAACCCATTGACGACCATGCAGTCCACATGTGGACTGCAGTTGTATTTTTCGTTTTATTCATCTATATTTCCATTTTTTTACAATTTTTCTTTTCAAAACATTACATCAGGTCTAGATGAAACCACATGAAGCGTGACCCTCTAAATTCTTCTAATCTTGCGATTGTAAAGGT